TATATATATATATATATATATATATGTATATATGTATATGGCGCATTTACATACATTCAAACCTATTTTTATATATTTACAGATATAACATCTAAACTTTGTTTTTACATTTATACCTCCCATATCTTTCATATCTTCTAAAAAAATACACAATTTTAACTTCTAATTAAATAGTGAAATATGCACCTTTTGCATGTATTGGTAAGTTGGCATAGATATAAAAATTAAGTCTAGATGTCAGATATGTAAATATATAAGCATTTAGTGGCATGTATAAATTCCCCTACACACATGTATATATTCATTAATATCATTAGAAATATTTTTTTCCTTATGTAATTACACATCTAACATCAAAATTTTAATATTTTATTCATATAACACTCAAAATTTGATATGACATGATCATGAAAACACAAATATTCATGACTTCTCAAGTACTTACAGCCTGATATGAATATGAACAAAAAATATTATTTAGATCAATATCAAAATTTATATGCGCAACCAATGGCCTGTTGGATGACAGCTTCGACGTAAGTCCACTCTCTCCCGGTTTCAGATCAATCTAGATCGAATTAGCACATATCGGGTGGACAGATATATATTATCGTCCATCTGTATAATATATATAAAGTTTCGTGCCGGTTCAAGCTTTGTTGCGATGACTCTGATTACCCAAATTTCTTTCATCATCAACATCGATATTCAAATTTAGATTGAGCACGTTGACAATTAGTTATTTGTTCATTGAATTTTTCTCTGAAAGAATAAAGTCTAACTTTATTCCCTTTCAGCACTAATCTTGCAGGAAAATGAATGCTAGTGAAAGCGACTATCAAGAATTTTAAGAGCTCTTATGTTTGACTAAAATGTTCATGAAAATTAGTTATGGTACGTAATAGTGATATTAGGGAAGATCAAAGATGGCTGGCATTCTTGAACTTAAGAGGTTGACATTTTCTAGTTTTGTGTTGGCAAATCTAAAATCAGCTCATTTTTGTATAGTCTTTTATGTGGAAACTGTGATTTTTCCACAAATAAAGTACAATAATGTATAATCAAAATTCCATCCTAAGTTTAATTACCTGTGTCATAACCTTTTAAAGGATAAAAATATATATTTTATCTAAATTAAAATAAAAAAAAGATTAATTAATTTTATATTTAAATATACTTTAGATGATAGATAATTTCTTAATGCATCTATTGAGTCTCAAATCTAGGGGTGGTAAATGAAGTTCACAGGTTGGGTTCGAGTCTAATCCGAATTTGACCCAACCCGAAACAACTTGATCCAAATTAACCTGACCCGAATATTAAAAAGGTCGGGAAGTTTAACCTGAAAACGACCTACCTTCAACCAGCCAACCTGAATTTGATCCCGTCTTCAACCCACAAATCCAAACTTGACCCATATAACCTGTTTAACATAAAAAATAATAGTTATTTGGGTCAAAATTGGGTCAATTTTAAGTTAATTGTGGGACAAATTTAAGTTACCGGGTTGATTTCAAGTTAATTTAGAGCTGGCGGGTAAAACCAAACCAAACCCGAAATGAGTCAACCCGAATTTGGATTTTTTTTTTTTAATTGGGTTAGGGTTGAGTTGGCTTGGTGGGTCAATTTTTGACACACCAAGTGAAATCTAAGATCAATATCTTAAAAATCAATGAAAATACAAGTTCTAATGTATTTACATTTCTAATACATACTTTTCTTTTTAACATTTATCCCATCAAATCTTTCATAGCATATAAAAAATATGGCAATTTTAACTTTTAAAAGTGAAATACACCTTTTCATGCATAGATAAGGTGACATTCAAGTAAAAATTGAGATTTAGGTGTTAGACATATATATGAATACAAAGAGATTGAGAGCATGCATGTAAATCTTCCAAAATAAATAAAGGATCATCCTACTCAATTCCTATATATATATATACCGATCGGACACCTGCCTCCCACAGGCCATCTTCAGGTAAGATTTACTTATATTTACCACTCAATTCTTACATATTCATATGTATATGCAGGTCCATCTAACTCTACCAAATCATGTCATAAAAATAATTCGTCCCTTCAAACAGTAATTTTCACCAAGCACTTATGGAACTCAAACCCAAGAAGTATAACCAACGACGCCATGATATATTGACGGTCAAACGCCCTCAAGGGGGCTAGCCACGAGATTTTCCTTGCAACAAGCTCAATTATATTAATTATATGACTTATATTATATAAATATATAATATATATATTACTATATTACTAATATAGTATATTAATATATTGTTATTATTAATTTATTATATATTATAATTTATAAAATTTAATTTTTTAAAATATCATAAATTTTTTATATATAATTATTTTAATTTTTTTATATTTCGAACAATAGCAATTCGAATACAAACGAACGCATCATTGTTCGTGTTTGGTTCGTTTAACTAATCGAACGAAAAAAATTTGTTCACGTTCGTCTCATTTACTTATCGAACAAATCAAACACAAACATTGACGAATCGAACACGGACTGTTCGCGAACAACGAGCTTTTTTTACAGCCGTACAATCCTTTGCCTTTACTAGCATACTTGACACTTTCCGCATGCGACTTCACGCAATATTTCGGTTCATTCCCATGCCATACAGATTAATGTTTTCGCATGCGTGGCGTACTAATGAGAGTTTTGTGTGTGCGGATTCCCTCGCATTCCCCTCCGTGCGATATTCTTATGAGCACAACCTCCTCCTCTCTGGCCTCCTCGTCGCCGGAAGAAGCCGTGAAGAATTCATAAACAGTGAGGTACGGAAGAGCATCTCATTTCTTTTCTGTGGTAGGATAGAATCATCTGCGTGTTGTCGTTCCCCATTGGATTTTAGGGTTTTTTTTTAATAGTTCGTCTGCCCTTATTTGGTGTGGAAATAGATTTCTGTTGATTTCATAGTACGATCTTGCCAAATTCCCTCGCATTTGTGAGTTGGTGCTGGATAATCTCTTGAGAGAATTTTTCTGGCTGGTCTTACTTTGCTTTCTACCAGGATTATTTCTTCTTTTGGTCGGCTCTGCTGGTTTTCTATTTGATTCTATTTACTTAGCTTCTCGGAATCAGCCATTGATGGCTGCATGCATTTTTTTTAATATATATATAAATGAAAAGTTGTTCAATAGATAACTGATAGAGTCAATGATAAGAGACTCATTCTGTGACCAGTTATTAAAGAATGTGTAAAGGGAGTTGAATGCTGTCACGGTATATGATTGGATTCTTAAATTGATCACTAGGATATAAATAAATGGTGAAATGGTTGATGCTGGTATATTCTTTAATTTATTATATGGAATTTAAATTTAATTTTTTCTTCATGTTTGTCGAGTGCTGTTGTTTTTTCTATGCCTGGAAGCTTCTGTAATTTTGATGTGCCAATTTATTGAATTTATTGAATTCAAATTTGATGCATTTTTAAACAATAAGTTGAATGGATTATGTTAAAACTATATTGAATTTATATTTGTGAAGAAAATGCTGGTCCAACCTCGCATCTTTTCATGCTTATAGCAGTGAAATGTAGTTGAAAATGTGATTACTTGATGGGTTTAAAGAGCAGTTTGGTTTATTAAATATGAAAATCAATCTAATCATTTCTTTTGTTTGCCCCTTCAAATGCAAAATCAGGTATATAATGCATCTTTATTTTCATTTATTTTTTCATTTTTTGCTGTTTTGATTATTGAATCATGTTACATGAAGTGTTGGGCATGCTATTTCTTGAATCAAATCATTAATTTATGCTGCTTCTGGCATTATGATTTTAATTATCCTTGAAAGCTTCAAATTTTTTTATAAAATATGTTAATTTCTAAATTTGCTTAATAACGTTCCTTCCTGGGTTTTCATTTTGCATGATGATTGGACCCTATTTGTTCATAATGCTTACTACATTCACAAGTTTTATTTGTTATTCTTATTGCTTTCTTATTCTCACATGTGTTTGTCTTCGTGGTAATTATTTTTATTTCTCTTGTTAGTTATTATGTGAATATGTGGTTGAACTATTTAGAATTTTTTTATGGCATGCAAATTTGAGACATAAGCTCTTGTACAATCCATAAACATTTAGAATAAAGGTGTATAAGGGCCTGATTGGTTTTGTCCTTTCTAAAACAAACACCACCACTACCAACAACAACAACAATAACAAGCCTTTATCCCACTAAGTGGGGGTCAGCTACATGAATCATTTTTCTCCATTGCGTTCTATTGAGTGTCAAATTATCATTTAATTTTAATAAATTAAGTTCATTTTTTATACAATATGCCCAAGTCTTTCTAGGTCTATCTCTGTCTTTCTTAACATAAGTCAAATCTAAAACATCTACTTTTTTGACTGGTTTATCAAATGGTCGACGTTCAATGTGACCAAACCATCTGAGACAACTCTTTCTAATTTTGTCCGCCACAGGAACTACACCAACTCTATCACGGATATATTCATTTCACATTTTTTCTTTAAGTGTAAAGTCACTCATCCACCTAAGTTTTCTCATCTCGGCAACACTAAACTTAATTTTATCCTTCTCTTTTACAGGCCAACATTTCGCACCACAGAGCATTGCAAGTCTTGCCACCATCTTACAAAATTTTCCTTTCAGTATAAGCAATACTTTTACCAATAGACCCAAAGCATTCCTCCACTTTAACCAACCAACTTGAAATCTACCAATAACATCCTCATCTATATCACCATCACTTTAAACAATAGACCTGAGATATCTAAAGTGTTCACACATTTTAATAATTTGATCACTCATAGTACAACCCTATCACTAGAGCTACTGCAACTAAATTACATTCCATGCATTCAGTTTTAGTTTTTTTCAAGCGAAGGCCTTTAGACTTCAATGTTGACCTCCATAATTCAAGTTTTTCCTTAGCTCTTTCTCGTCTTATCTGCGAGTGTCTTATCTGCGAGAAAAATATCATCAACAAAAAGCATACACCAAGGTCTTATCTGCGAGAAAATATCATCAACAAAAAGCATACACCAAAGTATATTTTCCTGTAAATGTCCAGTAAGAGCATCCATAACTAAAGCAAAAAGATATGGGCGTAAAGCTGATCCCTGATGTAATCCAACTGAAATAGGAAAATAATTGGTCAATCCTCCTGTTCGAACACAAGAAACAGATCTAGTACACATATCCTTAATGACTTGAATATAACTTATATCAACACCTTTCTTCTTTAGAACTCTCCAAAGTATATCTCTCGGAACCTTATCATAAGCATTTTCTAAATCAATAAAAATCATATATAGATCCTCCTCATTCTCTCTGTACTTCCCGACATAATCCAAACTGATTATGATAAATTTTTGTAATACGTCTTAACCTATGTTCAATTACCCTCTCCCATAATTTAAACTATGACACATCAACTTAATTCTTCTATAATTTGCACACTCTTATGCATCCTCTTTATTCTTAAAAATGGGGACCAAAATACTCTTCCTCCACTCCTTAGGCATCTTGTTAATTTTTTAAAAAATATTAAAGTTTAGTATGTTAAGAATCTGTCAAATATTCTAAATATTTTCACACTTCAATTTGGATATCATCAGGTCCTATAGATTTTCCACTCTTAGCTTTCTTTAAATCCTCTTCAACTTCTTTTTTACTAATATGACGGTAAAAATGAAATATTTCATTATTATTAACTATATTAAGATCACTAAAATTGATCTTATTTGCAGAAGCTTCATTGAAAAGTTTATCAAAATAACTCACCCATCTATATTTTAAATATCTTTTTCTTAAAAACATACATTTTGATTATCATCTTTAATACACTTTACTTGAGTTAAATCTTGACTTTTTTCTCTTTGTTTGGCTAGTTTATATATATATTTTTAACCTTTTTTAGTATCTAATTTATTATAAAGATTACTGAAAGCAGAATTTTTAGAGTCACAGATTGCTTTCTTAGACTCTCTATGGTTTTTTTTATATTTTTCCCATTTCTCTATGCCTTTACATTTAAATCAATTTTTATAACATTGACTTCTTATATTTTATCTTTTTTTACACATTTTTATTCCACCACCAATTATTTTTATTTGTAAAAGTTTTTTCGTTTGATTCTCCAAGTACATCTTTTGTTATTTGTTTGGTAGTCTTTGTTACTTTATCCCCCATAGAATTTGCTTCTTCATGAACGTCCCAAATCTCAAAATTTTGAAGTTCACTCATAGAATAATTTTATTTATGCCTTTTAGGTGCCTCTATCTAATTATATGATCATTGTTCTTAGTATCCTTTATTTTATAACTCTTTATCTTAAAATTGAAAATTAATAATCAATGTTGGGTATTTAAATTCTCACTAGGAATGACCTAATAATCTTTACATTCTCGACGATTTCTTCTTCTCATAAAAAATAATCAATTTGTGTTTTATTATATTCATTCTTATAAATAATAATATTTCCATCTTTTTTTTTAATAAAGTATTAGTAATAATAAAATTATACGTTAAAGCAAAATCTAATATAATTTTACCTTTTTCATTAATTACTCTAAAGTCGTGACCATCATGAATATTACTAAAGTCTTCTACCACTCTACCGACATGTCCATCTAAATATCCTCTAGTAAAAATTATTTCTTCAAGAGGTATCATTTGTATTAATTCTTTTAGATTATTCCAGAATTTTCTTTGTAACTTATATCTAAGCCTACTTGAGCTTGAGGAGCATAAGCACTTGTAATATTAAAAATCTCAGTATCAACAACAATCTTAAGGGCTATAATTTTATCTCTAATTTTATTAATTTTTACAACATTATCTTTTAAATTCTAATCTATAATTACACCTACATTTATATTGTGGTTTTTACCTGAATAACAAAGTTTAAAACGTAAGCTATCAATTTTTTTAGTTTTTTTTCTCTAACCAATTTAGTTTTTTGAATATATAAGATATTTATCTTTCTATAAATTATAATATTAACTAATTTCATTAATTTACTTGTGATGGTACCTATATTTCAAGATTCTATCATAATATTAGTTTCATGAACTAATTTCTTTACTCGCATTCACCCGTAATGTAGGAACTATTGTTTATTTGACACTACACCCGGACGCCGGTGTAGCGGCCCTTGCACACTTTTCACTGTATTATGGTCATACAATGCAATGCTTTCATGGGACTCCATAACATTTAAACAATGATTAAAATGATTCATGTCATGATTTTTCAATAAATTTTTCGCTGACTATCAAAATTATTTTTAAGATTTAAATTTGATTAGAATGGAATGTGATTCAGAACTATTTGTAATCCTTGGTCCCATACAATGTAACTAAGAATGGGCTACAAAAATTGGGTTGATTGATAAGGAAAATAATTATAACAAGAGACCACGTCAACATAGCTTCCGCGTATTACGAGTGAAGTATAGATAGGCATAATTTTGTTATATTTAACAATAAGAGATAATGCAATTACAAAACTATCCTTTCATCCTATCTCAATGAAATTCAAACAAAAAAAGAAAAGCAAATATTGTAATTATTTTTATATATAGAAAAAAAACCTTAGTGCCACCCTACCTGAAATGAGTGCATTATGTAGTTCTAGATATTGCATTAGACATAACCTTTAGTTTATCATTTATTCACCAAAACCTATGCCTATCTTACTCTGTTATATTTTCAATTAATTTTTATTTTGAATGTTCATCTCTCATTTATTCGCATTGTAATGGAAGAAAGCATGCTCCTTCTTATCAATCTGCTGTTCAATTTTTTTCTCCGCAAAATACATATGAGAAATGAATGGACTGTACAACTATTATGTTCCCTTAATATGATTACCGATATCCATATTTTTATATTTTGGCAATTTGATAATTAATACTAATTTATTGCTTCACGTGAGGTTTTTTTTTTTTTTTTTTCCTCAACAGGTTCCATTTATGAATTTGTAATTTTGCTAGCTAACTCATTTTTTATAAAACCACTATAAGCAACATGTGAAATGAAATTGGACACCCTGCACAATATGATGTATCAAATTGGAAGTTTTAATTGAAAGAAGTTTCAAGGCATTCCAAATGTAGCTATTCCAATGTGCTGAATACCAACAACTCAAAGAATAATTCTGTAGTTATTTATTATAATGTGGTGCTTTTTAAAGTGTTGTCTTTAAGAAATTACGAAACATTTATCATATTAGGCAGCGAGATTCATGCATCTTTTTGAGATTGTTTAATTAAAGATCATAAATCAAATTGTTTATTTCTATAGATGCTTTCTAGATTTGGCATATGGGAGTAGGCTTGAGGGAGTTGCTGCATAGCTTGTAAGAAGCCATCGAAACATCTCTTCATCTAATGGTAAACCATTTTCTACTCTTTTTAATTCAGTATTTAATTCTTTTAAGGAAGTTTGAGCGTGGTTATCATTCTTATTTGAACTTTGCATGCATGGGAAACCCATCAAACCTAAATCCTATTCTGACTAGCCCAATAATTTTTTCATAGTTTTATCAGACTTGTTGGGCATGATACGAAGAAATTTTCAGGCAATTTTTTTTATTCAAAGTGTTGGGCTGGATTAAGCTTAAGCAAAGGTTTTTAACGGGCCAATTTATTTTAATATGGCTTGAATTTGACACCCATTTTTCTAGTCTAATCGTCATCATTATTTGTCTTGTCTCAATGCTTAAGTGTCAAATATATGGATATATCTTCTCCATTCAATTTTGTTGGGTGTCATATATGAATTTTCTAACTGTGTTCTATAAATTTAATTGCTTAGTGCAGCATAAATTTTCCTCCAATTTTTTATACTTTTCTTTCAGCCATTTTTTTCGCGCGTTATTAATGTCATGGAAGTTAGTTTCATGCCTGTTTGAATTGTTCGTTGTGTGGTCTTGTTTGTGTACAACAACAAACCTTTATCACATTAAGTGGGGTCGGCTACGTGAATCTTTTTTCTCCATTGTTTGTGTTCCAATAGATTTATTTTATATTTTATTATGTTTTAACCTTTTTCTATTGGCCTTTAACTATGACTTTCTAAGCGAGTCAGCTGTTATATGAGATTTGAGTTATGACTTGGACTAGTATTTGAATTTGGAGTAGACATTGCGGGATTATCTGTAAGACCAACGTTGATAGGGTTGTTGTTATGCATGTGGTAAGAGAGATGTTTACAACAACCATTCTAACGTGGTGCTGTAAGTTTAGTTTTCTTTGTTATTCTGCAAAACTTTCATATTATCTGAGTGCTAATGATCTTAAAATCATATTAGTTGGCCCTTCTTAACTATAGAAGCAATTTATGATGTTGTGCTTTACTCATCAACCTAGAAAAGACCGCGCAACCTAAAATGTTAATTATAATTATGTGTATTGGTCATCTTTGCATCTATAACACCGAAAAGTATAATAATATACATGACCAAAAAACAAATTAATTAATTTTGAATATTGAAGCTTTGATCTTGATTTCATTTAAACTAACTTGTACTAATCAAACCATCAACTTCTTCTGGCTCTCGAACGTACTTTAGAATTTTTCTCTAGATGTACCCTTTCAATCTCCACTTGAAGTACCTTGTCTCATGCCTTCACAAACATAGCTTATATTAAATTAAATTTGTGATAATCAAAATATTAAATATATGTTATAAATTATGGGGTTGACATATTCTACATTTGTCACACTTATGTGATACAGGCATTAATTTTAGTTTTACCACAACTTTTAAACATGTTATCTTTTGTTATACATTTGTTTTATTTTACATTATTTTTATTAACTAGCTTGTTGTTGATGATTTATGACACATCAAAAATGGGGATGCCAGGGATTTGTATTTTAAAATTTTTATTGTGATTAGGGGAAGTAAATGTAGAAGTGAGAAGTATAATAATTATAATTATGTGTTTTGGTCATCTTTGCATCTATAACACCGAAAAGTATAATAATACACCGAAAAGTATAATAATATACATGACCAAAAAACAAATTAGTTAATTTTGAATATTGAAGCTTTGATCTTGATTTCATTTAAACTAACTTGTACTAATCAAACTATCAACTTCTTCTGGCTCTCGAACGTACTTTAGAATTTTGCTCTAGATATACCCTTTCAATCTCCACTTGAAGTACATTGTCTCATGCCTTCACAAACGCTAATCAATAATATTAGCTTATATTAAATTAAAATCTTGATAATCAAAATATTAAATATGTGTTTAAAATTATGGGGTTGACATATTCTACATTTGTCACACTTAAGTGATACAGGCATTAATTTTAGTTGTACTACAACTTTTAAACATGTTATCTTTTGTTATCCATTTATTTTATTTTACATTATTTTTATTAACTAGCTTGTTGTTGATGATTTATGACACATCAAAAGTGGGGATGCCAGGGATTTGTATTTTAAAACTTTTATTGTGATTAGGGAAAGTAAATGTAGAAGTGAAAAGCTTGCAAGTGTGTAATTAAACATCAAATGAAAAGAATAAGGAGGCGGTCAAAATATACACAATATTTATGTGGTTCAACCCAATTGGCCCATGTCTACTAAGCCCGCAAAGAAACCATCACACCTTACAAACTCGCAATTTGGGCTAGTGCAATCCAATTATAAGATTCCTAGATGAACCTCATTAAGCCTTTATAAATATTTAATAACTGAAAGGGAAACTAAAACTACATAGTTTACTTTTTGATCGAACAAAAATAGTAAAACAAGAATGAAAATAAAAAATAAAGCGATTTTACAAAGTCTTTGATAAATGTGCAATTTCATAAATAGCTTACAATTGATTCATCTTTGGTGCTCTTAAGCTTTGAAAGATGTTTTAGCTCTCAAAATTGAATTTGATAGAGTTTATCATGAGAGAACGTTAGAGAAATCTAGATAATGAAGGAATTTAGCTATAGTTTCATTACTCTATTTATTATTTAACTTTCTTTCTATTTATAACTCCCAATCTTCTTCTAAAATAATTTAAAATTTATTAAAACCCTCCCTAATTTTTTTTCAAGGAGCAGCAATTGTTTAATGACTATAAATCTAGTTATTAGTAGTGTTAGAACATTGATAGATAGAACCTTGTCACACAGAGCTTGCCTCGGTGTGCTTTGTGAGAGCAACCTTTTGTTCAGTATTAGTAGCACTGTTTTAATTTTTTTTAAGGCTTGTAATTTTCTTTTAATTAATATTGTATTAAAAAATACTTATATGATATTATATAATTTTGCATGTGAAAAATATGATGGATTTAGTCATTTACAAAACTAGAAGCTAATTTTTGAAAATTTAAATTAATTGTATATTTAAATGTTAAATGATACTAATTAGTTAATGACAAAAATTGGAGAGATTGAGTTTTTCATTCATGGATATGTACAGTATTTATAATATCTTAGATCTTCTGATGAGAAGCATGTAAAATCTTGGAAAAAAAAATTTTATAGTCCACGCCTCCACTTTTGATGATGTGACACAAATAATCTCATAGATTATTGAGTTGACATAAAGTAAATAAGAAGGGTGGACTGTTGGATCGTTTAAACATTAATAGAGGCAGAATTGATGGAGATTAATTTTTCCACTACTAACAAGGGAATAATGATCAAAATGACTTGAAAGTTTTTTGCTAAAGTTTATTTATCCAACTTTCAATTTCATAATATTAGAAATACTTTTGAGCAATTTATAAATTTAAGTTAAATGAGTTCTTGTTGAGAGATTGGGCTAAAGCTGTAATGATATTAAAATTACTTCCAATGATATCCCTGAAGATTCTAAGTAGACCTTGAAATCTTGGAGTTGACTTGGTCATGACATTGGTTCACTTGATCATGCATTGGAAAATGGGGTTGAAGCTTGTATTAAGATCTATGATACTTCCCACTCTAATGACTCTTAGATAAATTTTTAGTACTTTTAATATATGCTTGTAGTTGCCAAAATGAGCTCAAAATACTATCAAGCCTACGGAGTCGAGAATCTTTCTTTTTGATGATGACAGACATATTACATTGATTGTGCTGCAAAGTGACATCCCCCCTTACATGAAGGCATAGGTAAATAGAGATCATTTGGAATAAAAAATTTGCAATATGTGGGGACTAGCTCTGTCTCTAAGTACATGCAGCTGAAGTTAGTAAACTTTTCAACCAATTTAATAACAATTTTGCTGACATATGTTACTTCCTATTTTACCAACATCAAAAGAGAGATACGCCTAAAGGAAAACTTTATTTTGACAATGAGAAAAGAGTATGCAGGCTCATAATTAAACAAGTGAACACAAGAATAAAGTTTCATATGTCAAACGAGTTCATACATCATTTTATCCAACCAATAATTGAAACATGGGAACTTCAACATATTACATTCTCTTTAAGATCAATGAATTTTGCCATGATGTAGAATATAAATGTCTTTTGAAAAGGGTGGTCTATGAATATGTCAATGTTTTCACGTGGAATATCATATTTTACTTCAAAAGGATAACAATTTTGATGATATGACTTAGAGAGAAAGATTTGTTGGTCGTTCCATTTCAGAACTTGTAACTCAGAAATATTTCCAATGTTAAAAATTCAGAGATTAATGTAGTTGTTTTGTTTTTTCTCTTTAATCAGATAGGAGAGAGATTAATGTTTTTGTAAGTTCATTTTGATGTGAGTTAAGCAAATTGTAATTAGGTAGAATAAGGGTAGCAGTGATAGAGTTAGAATTACTATCTTTGACCAAGACAATTTTTTGTAGGAAATATTGGATGGTGTCTTGGTCATCTTTGACCAAGACAGTTTTTTGTAGGAAATATTGGATGGTGCAATCCTCGTTAGATAGTCTAATCATATAATGGAGATGTGATTTTGTAGATGTGGAATGCACTACTCTTTTCATGACAGTGCAATTAAATTCTAGCCGATTTTCATTGATAGACAACATGTCAGATGCTCCATTTGGAATTAAGAAAAAAAAAAAAAACTTACCTGATCTTCACAAGTAATGATATCAAGATGACCATTTTTGAAAGAAATAACTTTATTCGTTCAGAGGTATAAACTAATTTGTTGTAGAAGATATTTGTAAAGGATAACCAAAATTGAGTTCTACACTAAAGAGTGTTTTCAAATCTGGTTCCATGGAATAGGCTAAATACATTTGCATTGAATGGAAGAAGTGGCCATGGTACTTTAAGCCTTACATTTTTTATAAGAGGATAAGCTTGGCTTTGAAAACGATTATGAACCATTGAGGAAGATTCATCATGTGATTGTATTGAGCCCTTAGGTAGTCAAAGGAATATGAATATCTATAGGGTGTAAAGATTTAAACACATTTTAATGAGCAGAAACTAATTTTTGAACGGATTTTTTATGTTTTAAACACTAATTTTGCAATGAAGGATAAAGGAATAAAAAAGTAAATGGAAGATTAAATTATATAAAAAAATCTTAACAAGCAAATTTATTAGATATAGATCTTGGTATAAACACTAATGGTCTAACAAAAAATGAGGATATTTTGTTATCTTGACATTAAGAAATAGGAAACTTAAGTTGAACGGCTGGGGTTCAGCAACGATCAAAACAAAAAGGATAGGAAGAAACAAAATACATATTTGACCAAGGATCTTAAAAAATGTCGAGTTCAATGTTGCTTTGCAATCAATCTTTCATCTTGCAAAGTCATCATTTGCCTGAAAGTGAGCATAAAAACATACAACAAATATATTAGTAGTGCTACTAGCAGTAAGTTATTATAATTACCCCATCAAATCCTTATAAAGCTTAGGGTCTGTTTGTGGCAACCGCAGCGGTTTGTTGAAGCAGCTGAAGAAGAAGCTATTGTTCAAAAAGCTGCGGTGGCAATTATAATTTTTTTCTTTGAAAAGGTCAGATCGCAGCTTTTTAACAGTCACAGGAGATAACCGGGTTTGGTGGGAAAACGTAGCTTTTAGCTGAAGCTTTTTGGCAAAACGTAGTTTTGCCAAATAGGAAAAATTGCGGTGTGGCTCCGCACCGCCTCCTTAAACACACCCTTAGTCTTTCTAGGTTTTCCATCTTCATCTAAATCTACTGTCAGAGCCTATAGAGAACCTTTGGTTGAAGTTTTTGGTGGTCTGTCATTGTCTCCTATTGCTTTGGTGGCCTCTCTATTAGTGCTTCACTTATGGATCCTCCTCAAAAATTAAATCAATGTTTTTTTATGCTTCTGTTGGGTGTGCTTTTGTTTTTTCACCGAAGTTGTTGGGTGGGGGGAGAATGTATTACGTTTTATGTCTCCATCATCACTTTTTTTGTATATTTTTGTAACAAGGCTCAAAATTATCTCAACATAAGTTGCCCTCCACTGTCCAAATTAAATCACTCTCATTTATTTATGAAGAGGTTTTTTGAGTTGGTGCCTCTATTTACCATTTTTATATTTGATAATTGTCATCCCAAGCTTAAGCTTATTTGCAGATTCATAGCTGACCTATGTTTGATTGTTGATTCTTTGGGCAACTTGACCTTTGCCATGCCCTTATTTATTAATTCTAAGAGCTTATTATTCGAGGCTATGCTAACATAGAGCCTTCACTTAGACCATTTTTAGGTATGCCCATGTTTTGATTTTTTTGAGGAACCAACTATTAACTTCAATTTGCATAGCTTTTTCTCAAATTCAAGTCCACTACTTTCACCAATACACTCTAAACTCCCTTGGTTTTATTTTTGGTAAACATTTACCAGTGAATCATATTATTGTTAGGCTTTAGAGGTCGTTTGTAGTTAACATCTCAATAGAAATGGACATTACTTCTTCTTATATATATATAAAATTTATTATCAAATTTTAATTTAAATCATGTTTATTAAATTTTAAGACATTTAAAGGAATTATAGATAATTATTTTGTACTTAATGCTATTAGTATCATTTGTAATTATTTTGAATTACTTTATCACATGAAAACATAAATTTTTAAGTTATGTTGGGAACTAGAATCTGATAAGTTATATGCTTATGATCAAATTCTCTTAGGCATTGAAAAACAAGAGGATAGAAGATTTCAAATTATTTTTATTTGGAGATGTAAGAATAAGAAAAATGTATTTTTTTCATTCATTAAAGTTTATTCAAAATGGAGCAAGACCCAATAATTTGTCTCATGACTTTGATAGTCTTGACTTGTGAGGAGTGAAGCTATCCTTTGTTTATTGAGTATTGGTTAATACTGTCTTTTGGCTGTTCTTCGTAATTGCTTAGTGTTGTTAAAAAAAAGTATTGAACATTGGGGACTTTATGTTTGTCACAAACATTTATAAGGTTAGTGAACGTGCTTTAAATGTCTGTAGTAAGCATTCAATTCAAGTATTGTATTGCTCACAGGAGTAAGATCTCAATCTTTATCATTCTATTTTCAGTATAGTCATTATTTGGATCATTTCCTTTTCTTTTATTTTAAAAGCTTTCTTGATGGACGATATTGCATTTTAGGCTTGTAATTGAAGAATAAGATTTTGTGCTTACCTAAAGTTATAGGTTCTGATAAAAAGATAGACCTTGTTTGAGAACAGCTCTATTTGCTTTTTTGAATAACTTGAGTTCTACTGATGTAGTTCTTGAATTTTATCGCTCAAAATTTGATCTGCAAGTTGAATCAATAGAAGATTAGAAACAAACAGAAGGATACAAATAACTGGGGATGCCTAAATCCTTTGATTAATAACATGCTTTTGTCGTATAGCTTGCAAGCTTGTTTCTAGTTGGTTCTCTGTGGGCTTGTTTGGAATCACTTCAATTTATTATTTTTTATTTTATTTTTTCTTTTATTTAAAAACATATTTGTTTAGTGTATTTTTTGCATCTTTTTATTTTTTTATTTTGTTTTTAAAAGCATTTTAACTTGTTTTAAAAACTCTCAAAACATCTAAAAGCTGTTTTGAGTGTCTTTAACCATCAGCTGCTACGAACTAATTGTCTTAAAGGAACAATCACTTAGGTTTTGGTTGATTACATGTGATTGCTCACCTTTCCCTTGGTTGGATGTCATAGATGCTGTCTCTTGTCAATTTTCCAAAATGAGTTACTATGTTTTTTTTTCTTGGTTGAGGTTTTATTTCTATATTATGTCACATTTTCTTTGTTTTTTCTGCTAATATGCTTCATATTTTTTTTTTTAAATTCAAGGTTGAAGAATTGTTACCGATGATTTTCTTGCAAGTTATGCAGCTGCTGCCTTAAGCTTGTTACTTCACCCTGCAAGAACTTGTGTTTTCAACAGACAAAGTTAGTTGGTACTGTACATTCTCATATTTGAGTGAAAATAATAAATAAACAAGCATCATTAGTTAAAATTATCAAATAATTAAGCTTATTTGAGGAATAATTATTTTTTCTGATGTTGATGAAGTAGTTTTTTTTTTTCTTTTTATCACCAGAAAACATGGAAATTGTTAGCTAGCACTTTGTGCCCCACTGAATGTAAGATGATATTTGAGCTTTTAGTGTAATTTCTATTTATATTTTCGTTTCCTTTTTTATTTGCCTGGAAAAATATGGGAACTAAAACTCTCATACTTAAATGTTTTTTTTTTAATTTTTTCTATTATTTATATATTTTAGAAGCTGATTGATATTGTCTTTAACAGAGCTAGTCATAATTTGACAATTGCTTTGTTTATTTCCATTGTCCAGCATTCATTGTTTGACATCTTTCGGCCATCATTCAGCTTTAATGAAGCATACCTGGAAGGTTCAATTAAATATCCTACCGTGATAGAGTTTAAATTTAGGCAATTTTGTTTTCCTTTAATTAATTTTTAAGTATGTTTTCTTCTAATAAAATCTAACTTACAGCTATTGAGTATCATCATTTGGTCTCAAGGAAAATCCTAATAATGTTTTCAAGCTGCTTTGTTCCTAAATCCAGGTCAGTAGTTACTCATATATCTATATTAATTTTTTTATTTGAATATTTTTTTTAATATATATTTTGTTAATCTTCATTTAAACTTTTTTGTAGCTTTCTTTGATTTAAATAATCATTTTAGACAGCTGGTATATATTTTAGAATTAATTGAACACCATCAGTACACTATAGGAGTTATATGGGATTACCATACTTGTCAATAACATGCTGTGCTGTTGTGCAAAGCACAAGATATGAGTAATGAGAGTTGCTTTACTTGGTTGATTAAATGTAATATCGATTTTGTTTTTTTGATCGAAGAAGATGAAGAAGACTATGATGTCAGACAATATGATGAAGAAGAACAACAAGATAAGGTTGTGCAGGTTTATAATGATGATTAATCTTAGTATAACTAAATTAGTCTCTAGATTTGTTTATGGGATGTATAAACCAACTTGCACTTATGTATTGAACGTAGGTATTCCCTTGAGAATATTCATGCAAACTTGAGCGCTTAAATTTTGTATTTTGCTAAGTTTTTTTTTTTATTGCTATGATAGTTCCATTTGCCACATTAGTTGATTTTCTCTTCAACAGTTTATTTGTAATCTTTTTTAACCTTCGTGTATGTTAAATCTTAAGCAGCAAATATGAGGATTAACTATTAATGTGTACTAGTATAATGTTTGTTCTATTTTTAGACAACATAGAGTTATACCTGTTAGCATGTCAATCTCTAATGGTTTGGCTTTAACTGAATGTTTTAAGGCATTTTGTGCTCTCTCAACCTTAAACCCTAGGATTAAGCTCAAGTTCATGTTAAGACAGTGCCTCAAACTCAACTCACTCTCATACAACCCCAGTATCAGGTAGGCTAAATTCTGTCCTAGTTACATAAAAGCATAAAATTAAGGTGAGTTTTATGCAAATCTTCATCCTAATATCTTTTTTTTCTTTTCTGCTTTATGGGCCGAGTTGTAAAATACCTTATTCTGCGGTGAACGATTGAAAATCGTTTTTTTAATTGTGCGGAGGATAAGAAAATAAAACATTTTGCACTTCATAATCTTATCAAATAATATACCTTTCCTCCCCTAAACACATGACATTTTCCTCCTTCAAAAGGGGTTATTTACATACATACCACCCAATTCCCATCTATTTAAATATCCAATTCCATAAATTTTATTTTCTTACATATATACCATCCAAATCTTCCATATCACATATAAAAAAAAAAAGAAGCTCCATTTTAACTTCAAAAAGTTGAAATAAGGAGGCGTGCATGGTACATAATAAGAATTCAGTGGTATGGATGAAAATCTTCCCCCAAAATCCATCTAAAACGCCTAAATCAAAAAGAAAGAATATCACACAACTCCATTATTTCTCCTCCCAAAAGAAGAATCAGATTCTCCATCACATGACCAATAAGCAAGCCAAATCCTCCCCATATTCTCCCCCATCTTCCCCAATCTCTTATCCAACACAACGATCTTCTTCTTCTTCTTCTTCTTCTTGATGCCGCCTTTCTACTGCATGATCATGAAGATCAACATCGACTGCGGCGGCTGCTATCGCAAAATCAGAGATGCTCTTCTCAAGCTGCAAGGTGAAAGTCGCAGTTAGGGTTTTGTTGAATTTTAAAGCTTGTACCGATTAATAATTTTGTTTTTATATGAATTGATTTTGATGGGAAGAGTTGGAGAGCCACTTGATAGAGAGGAAGCGGGGAAGAGTGATTGTGTTCGGAGAGTTCGACCCGCAGGCGGTGGCGATCAGGATGAGGAAGATGATTAATCGCCGTGTCCAGATTTTGGAGATCAAGGAAGCTGAGGTTGGGAGCGGGGAAGGTGAAGCTTTTAAGTGATGACTGATGATTGTAACATCTTTGATTTAGTTCATGTCGCGCTTTTTCTATTGTTTTAGGGTTGCAAGTACATTGATGATTGTAACATCTTTGATTTAGTTCATGTGAATGTATCGCGCTTTTTCTATTGTTTTAGGGTTGCAAGTACAAAATAGATGGAAATTATGGGACGAAAATGAAGATTTAATAAGTGAATGTTGAAATGAATGAATTTAATGGTGTTATGGATATCTCTTAATTGCTTCGTTTATTTCAGGAGAAGCAGTAGTAGATTATATGTACTTAATTTTGAGAAGACAAGCATGAATCACACTAAGGAAAAATTATTCCATGCGTGCGGTGTCCGATCCGGACCTCAAATCACCTGATTTACAGTCTGAATGTATTTCGATGGGCCCCACCCAAATTTAAAAAAAAATAGAAATAATCACGACCGTAGATCACCGCGATCTACGGTCATGATCGGATACCGAATGCAAAGATGCATGCGGTGTTCGTATGCAATAATTTCTCTTAGGGGGTGTTCGGTGGCCGGATTTGAGCAGGATTTACGTTACGTTAAAGGATTTAGCTTAGGAAGAAAGTGAGGGGAGTGGATTTATGCCAAATTGGAGAAATAAATGTAATGGGTTTAGCTTTAAATTGAACCAAGCACTATTTTAGATTTCCAACATTTGGATTTAATAAATTTGAAATTATCAAATTTATTAAATCCTATTTAACTTAAATCTTAGATGAAACCAAACACCTCCTAAAAGGCGGTTGCGGCTATTTGAAGAACAGCTTTGAAGCTGCTGCAGAAAAATCAACCAAAAGTTTGTGGTGGTTACTATATATATATATATATATATATATTTCAAAAAGTGATATCGCAACTTTCTAACAGTCACCTCATTTATTTATGTCATATTACAAAACATAATTTTCAACTGCAATTTTTTGAAAAAATAAGCATATGCAATTTTTGTCGAATATAAAATAATGTGGCGCCGCACCGCACCACCACCACATCAATATCTCAAATTACGTGTGGAGTAGTGTGGTCATCGCTGCCTTGAGGAACTCCGAGCATTCGCGAGAGAGCTAAGGCAGATGAGACGCGAGAGAGGAGGTCATGGATAGCGGCATAATACTTACACGAATAAATGCGGGTCCCGGGATCAATCCTGCTGCAAATCCAGATTCCGGTTCAGGAGGAAGGCGGCGTTAATGGGGCCTTAACCTTAACAGAACAGGCTGCAACAGATGGTATTTGATTTTTTGCACATAACACTTCACCATACAGCTGCTAAAACAGCAATCATTATGGAATCGATGCATCGATATCCTCACAAAAGACTCGGGACTATTTTGGATGGTATTTGATTTTTTGCACATAACACTTCACTATGCAGCTGCTAAAACAGCAATCATTATGGAATCGATGGCATCGATATCCTCACAAAAGACTCGGGACTATTTTAGATGGTATTTGATTTTTTGCACATAACACTTCACCATACAGCTGCTAAAACAGCAATCATTATGGAATCGATGCATCGATATCCTCACAAAAGACTCGGGACTATTTTTCAGCGTAGATTCAGCGTAGATAGTCCGTTCCCTCTTCCATCCCGTCGCTGTGTTCAGCGCTGAATTATCCGGCGACAGGATGGAAGAGGGAACAGGAAAAAGATGTAATGCCAAACCTGTGAAATCAAAGTTTCAGATGTGAAATATGCAAATTTTAATATTTCACGTCGTATGCAAAAATCCCTTTTTTTAAAAATGAAAGGCACCTTTTCATGCAGAGATTTGTGACACCAAATGTTATAAAATGATAGAAGTCCAAGTGTTATACATGTACAAACATAAAAATTGTGTGGTATGTAAATTTCCCAACATAAAATTGTTTACAGAGAAAAGAAAATGGCGAAGATTCACTTCGGTTGCATTCAAAATTGTGACAACAAAAATAGTCGGTAAGAAGAAATGTTACAAAGCTTTAACGGCTCCGCTACTCATCACAGTTCCCCACACCTGAGGGATTTGGTTAGATTTTCTTTCCATTGTTTTAGCTCATTCTACACTAAAATTATACATACTAAGCATTGTACAATGGTTGCTCCACTCTTCCAATGTTCCAATTCCACATTTTGGACAATGTGGTCATCGGTGATGTAGTATAAAGAACAAGGGTAAAAAAAAAAAAAAGCTAAAATCAGTGAATTCTACTATACAGCTGAGACATCAATCTGCTAAGTCATGACCAAGTTTGGACAGAGAGCCATTGGTGCGCCAAACAAAGGATCACCACTCTTGCAGTTCTCTTGGTCCACTAGCTTCAAAGATTTTGGTATTAGAAATGGGCTGCTGGATTTGTGGCTCAAATCAAAACGCAGTCTTTTATTACTCAAAAACCTCTTCTCAATCTGCCCCTTAAGTGTTCTTTTCCTTGAAGCACTCCACCTCAAGCCATCATGGATGAAACTGCTGACAAGATGAGGCGAATTTCGTTCCATTTTCTCCGAGAGATGACTCCTAATGAGCTGTGATGCATGTGTTTCGGTGCGAGCAGGAGGTGAGGAATCTTCTTTCGCTTGTCTTGGTTCTGCTTCCATCTGGGCGTTGGAGGGCGAAGACAGGAAGTTAATGCAGTCGCTGCACTTCTCATGGTCAAGTCTTGAGAGTAGAAGGCCAGCGATGTCAGGCCTGGCCTTGATGTGATTCCATTTGTTTTCAACCCAATCTTGAGAGGGTCTCAATTCTCCAGGAGAAAAGGTGGATGTTTGCTGCTCTCCTGCAAGTTGAAAGAGGGAGAATATTAAAAACGGGGAGGATGAAGAAGAATTCTCTAAAGCATGCACTGGTAAAAGCAAATATGTTTAGGCTGTCTAAACCAAGCACCACTAAAAGCAAATATATTTGGACTGGAGGGGGGAGGGAGTCATTTTGCTTCGTCAAATGTAAAATATAGCCCTTGAAAGTTAAGGCTCAAGGTCTGTTTGGAACAATTTTCTGTATGCTTTGCGTTTTAGACTATCAGCACAGTTCTATTTGTGAAACTGTTTTTTTTTTCCTATATTTATTGTGCTGAGAAGTTGTTTTGTAGAACTAGATCTATTAAAATGGGAGTAAATGTAAGAAAACCGTTGTTGTTTGGATTTTCTGAATAAATATATAAATTCATAATTCATACCTCAACTTTCTAAGAAATTATTTTTCTAAGCACAATTTTACAATCACCTTACAAAAAGCTACAATCCTCACGAACATACCCCCTTAATTGATATTCATTGATCCAATCATTTAATAGATCTAGTTCTAAAAAAACAACTTCTCAGCACAATAAATATAGGAAAAAAAAACAGTTTCAGAAAAAAAAAAACAGTCGAGGATTGCTACGACGGATAAATATAATAAATTATAGTGACCAACCTGGGAAATATACACATATTTTTCCTTCACCAACATTGCCTATAACAATTCCTTCCCACCATCCATCATGCCACCGCGCATCAACAACTTCCCCAAGTTCATAACTGCATAAACTCTCATTTTCCTTCGGCGGGCTCGGACGAACTATTGGCCTTCCACATATGCGGATCCCCAATTTGTCCGTCGAAGCAATCCTCGTCGTCAAAACCCATTCCTGTAAACAAATAAAAAGAACACGAGTAAGCTATAAGCATCATCAGATAGAGCACAGCTAGTAAAAAAAAAAGGATTACTGCCCTTTTTACCTCTAAATTGCCAGTTCCATCAGCATCTTCTACATCTTGGTACCGAACCTTGATTTTATCACGGCGTCTTTTGAGAACAACACAGCGAAACCAGCAGCCCCTGATGCTGCTGTCCTGCGAAAGCAGCTCAATTTCCAACCCCGGAGCTATCGCATTCCGCCTCCTTTCAAATCCATTTTTGACGCTCAAACTTTTTGCTTTGTCGATATCATTAACTACTCCTTCAAAGTCAACACGTCCAACATTCAAATGAGATTTTCGATTGCAATTTAGCAGAATGTCAGAGCCATTGGGGCGAGATTTTATCTTCAGCCGTAATTTAAGATGAGAAGGGTACATGGAACGAAGTAGATCCTGACTCCAATAACCTTGGACTTGAGTGATATCGAAAGGCTCAACATTATCATTGCAGATCTGCCGACGGCATAGAAAAGGGTTCCAGGAGCTGGATCTGTGTTGAGGCTCTTTCAGAAACTTGTCAAAGTCCTCGAAACAAAGTACCGCGGCCAACCCATCCACGCATTCAACACTGAAATGTTGAAGGCAAAGAGAGAAGAAAATCTCTCTGTCATTAGTGTCGGGTGGCAAAACAATACTAACCTCATCAACTTTATGAAACCACCGTACCGAAACCATTTTATTGGCCCTCACATCCTCATATAAATCTTCGATATATGCAACCAGCCTCTTATTACCTTCCGCTAGAACATAGATAAAGTCATGAACCTAGGGGCATGATTGTAAAAAAAAGAAATGTCAGATAAGGGTGCAAAAGATAAAAATAAACAAAAGAGCAATATAAGCTTACAGATATTTTAATTCCATTTCTGCAAAAGGATTGATAATGCTTCCAGCGTTTCCTACAATCCCATGAAGAACCTAACCATGAACAATCTTCGGAATGGTGTCTTATTTGACCAGAGGAAAGAATCTGTAAAGAATCACGGAAGAATAGGGTTTAAGCAAAATGCTATAAATGACTGATAAAATATTGAAATTTAATGGGTGAGGGGGGTTTATAGCTACCTTGAAAATAGGAATACTGGCTGGTGAGGCATCTTCATCATCAGAGTATCTATCCAAAACTGGGGACAATCCATATGGCGTTGAATCTATTCAAAAAATAAACATTAGGTTCAAGTACGCAGAAAACAAGAACATAAAGTATACAGAATCACAACAAAAGGATTTTATAAATAAGTTGAAATAGATAGTATGATATTTTTGCAAGGAAAAAGAAACTTGTGACAAAAAACAGACTTACTGAACAATAAAAAAGTTATTAACTTCTAATAAAGAAAGCTAAACAATGATCAACCATAACATGCATGAATCAAAAAACTTTAAGGGAATAATCAAGTAAAGGTTTTTTATTGTTTGGATAAAGCAAAAAAAAAAAAAAAAAAAAAAAAGAGCCTCAATCATATTTGGTTTGTTTGCTTTAGTTGTTAAAGGACAAATTCAACTAATCATTATTTTTATTTTATTTAATTTTTAGTTATTGGTTTCATTTTTTTGCTTTTATGAAATCGATCAAATCGAAATTTGAATTATATTAATTACTCCAAATATTAAAACAATAAATCCATGTTGAAAAACAAGTGACATAAGGATCAACGTGGATATTGTTTACTCCACATGTAAAAACTATAATTTTTAGCAAAGATTACTTAATATTTTTCTTGATATAGTTTATTTAAGCAAAGATAATTAGGTTCATTATTAAAAATAATAAAATTTTGTTATTAAAAAAAAATAGTGGGTTTATCTGTCCGAGCTTTACGCCCAAAACAAGTTAGTTTAGCTAATTTAAAAACCAAATCAACTAAATGCACAACCTTAAATCTAGCTGATCCCAAAAACATGCGAGAGAGCCTGGAACAACAATAATCTATAGTGTATTATGGAGGTCTCAGGTTCCAACAATGGAAAAAGCCACCAAAAAATGTGAAGGGGTGTAAAACTATCTGCATCAATCTCTCCATAGAACTTATATTAGCATCCCTAGACCCCACATTCACGAGAGCTTAATGAATTAGATATAACCCTTATATAACAGATAATACATTTACCAAGATGGTCGAAGTGGACCGAAAAATTAATATCAAATATGAAATCCGAAAGAATAAGAAGATCATGTCAGAAATAAGCACATAAAGAGGCTGGTTGATTTAGAACTAAAAGGCTTAATTTGGAACTGCTAAGTTTTGTCAAATAAATTCAAGTAGTTATTAATCTTACAGAGAATGATGAATTTCTCTAACTAAGTGTTCTATATGGTCCTTAAACTTAGGAAGAGGTGTTTATGGAAAATAAAGATTTCCGTTGGCGTTTCATAAAATCAATTTAAGAAAGAATAGGGACCATTCTGGAACTTCTGATCACTAAAAAACCTAAAACAATGAAAAGTTTAACATTTAAGAAAGTTAAGTGAAGGGTGAACAAATTTGAAGTGAGGACTTTAAACAAAAAATTAAAATTTCTAAGAAATTTTGCTTATGTTACCCATATTGAAAATTAATTGTTGTTAATTTTGTCTGCACTGCATCCAATTTGTTTAAAAACCAGAATAAAAAATTCACAAAGTATCCAATTCTGGTTTTTCCTCAACATAAAATTTTATTATTGACCATAACTTTCCAAATATACCATAGAATTTGAACCCAAAAAAATCATTAATAAAATAACAGCCATTACCAAACTTACAAGAAACTGCAGATGAGAGAAGGATGTGCTCTCATACAAAAATATAAATTCAATGAGAAGATATCATGAGCATCATTCATTACCGATATTTCTAGGAATCCTAAAGAAAGGCCCTAAATCTACAATCAACAACAGCCCAAAACAAATAAATAAATAGCTTCATAAAGAAGTGATATTAGCAACAACAACAAGCACAAGCATCTTAGCAAACAGAATTCCACAGCATAAAAACAGAAATGATTCTTATGTCTTTTGTTGACATCATCTTAGACACATGGACACAACAAGCTATAAAGTTCAAAAAACCAGTAGGTTTTTTATCCATTCTACACCATCATCATTCATGTATCCATTCATTCTTTTAAGTGTTTTTTTCATTCATGTTATTGGGAATAAAGCAAAATCTTCTTGAGCATCACAAAAATAAAATTTAAAAAAAAAGAAAACAAACTAACAAGCTAAATTTGATTTGGATAAAATCAGCACGCACTGTAACCAATTTAAATCTCAAATAAATCAAGTTATTTTCCTATTACGCTACCCTTTTTTACTATTTTCACTCAAAGTCCTTCTTTAAGTTATTCCTTAAGCTCTATATATAGAAATCCAATATTCTTTTCTTATTTGTAATGAGAAATTCTTGAGTGTATGTAGCGGCTTCTAGCAATTACATATTTTTAAATTCATGATCCTCTGCCCTAGATGTGCCATGTTATACTTTCACAAGGTTTTTCATTATCCTATGGTTGTGTTGTGCCCTTGCCCTTGTGCATCCATGATGCACAGCTTCCATCAAATGTAGAATGTAAGCTGACATGGGAGAGCAGATCCATAATTTTACATAACTTTCAGAGGGGGCGAAGTAAATACAACCAAATGATGTGAGGACAAGCATGTAATAAACTCTACAAAATTGGCTTGAATCTTGCTTCATAATTTTTGGCTAGGGTCTACATGGCAATTTAAGGAAAAAAAACAGAGATTCTCTATGTTACGAACATATACCTTCCATTTAAGCCACTATTGAGCAATGAAAGTATGCCACCATTGGGAAAATCAGAGCATATCACCTAAAAGTTGGGCAGATGTCACAAAGAAACTATGGATTCAAAATCTAGATTACAATTTTTTCATGATACCCAGCTACAGTCAACCTCGCAGGCAGACAGAGGTAAAGCCCGTGGTGGGAAATTGCCCACACTAAAATTTGAATTTTTTTTTAAACGTTGCAAAATAAATAAGTACCACCCCGACAATAAATCCTTTTTCACAACACTTTATAAACAAAAATAAAAATATTGAGAAAAAAGGGTTTGGCTTAATTCCCTATAGAGTTTATTTTGTATTTTTTAATATTAATTTATTTATGTAACCACCTGTGCCCACCCCCTTGATCTCCATAGCAGTTTCAGGAAACAGACGCTAAGTTTTTCCATGAGAAGGAAAATTAAGCCACTAAAAACAACTAAAGTAAACAATCCAATGAGAAAACCAAAAGGAAAACGCCTACAGCCAGGCAGATTTAATAAAGAAAAAGAAAAATTCACCCTACAAAAACTTTTTTCTAAATTTTATGTACTAAAAGAGTACATAGATTAAAAGTTTTCATTTTGATGGCATAACTCTTACCAATTATAGCAAAATAGTGGAGAAAAGATAGATGGAAGGAGCGACAAGGGATGAGAGCAGGCACCTAGTGATGCAGGAAGCTGTGGAACTTTTGATCCCGCACGAGCTGCTCCTTGTCTTCACTCTTCTCCTTTTGGTTTCATTTAAGAGCTGAAAAACGTCGGATTACACGTTCCAGCATAGGGTTACAATTTCGCAATTCAATAATCCAAATTTCCATGCATATGAGAAATCCAAAACCCAAATTTCTCTCAAACTGCAAGAATATCCGACACAACAAACACAAAAACCTACAATTACATAAATTTGCATTAAAGACAGGAAGAGGATCCATATCTAGCAAATTTCTCCTTCAATGAGTTTGACCATTCACAGCCAGAAACGACAGAAAATTTCTTAAAAAAAGAACGAGTTTGATCATTCACAGCCAGAAACGACAGAAAATTTCTTAAAACAACGATAACGTACACATAAATCCTAAAATTGGAGCTCCGGCACTGCAAATGCCTTGTTAGCGTCCAAACAAAGCAAAACATCAATCTTTCCCAAGCAAATACGACATAGAAGTCAGATCCACGCGAAACATCACTTCCCTTTTAGCCTCCTAAACCTAGCAAAGATGCAACCTTATCAAATAACAAATCCTAACAAAAACCACAGATCCACAAAAATAACCCTTAAGCCATCAATTCCCATCCAAGTCTCCCCCTCAACAAACAACTTTAAAAAGAAAAAAAAAACAAACCAGAGCGCACAAACACAGGAAAAAAACAAAAGAAAAAACACAAAGTGAAATCATCAAATTACCTGAAACGAGCAAGGAGAGCCACAAAAAAAACACAAAGTGAAATCATCAAATTACCTGAAACGAGCAAGGAGAGCCAATCCACAACCTGTCTCCGAGATCGCAACTTCAGATCAGACGGCAGAGCAGCTGCTGCTAAATTAAACGCGTAAGGCGAAGCAGTCTCCGACAACCTAATCACAGACTGCAAAAACTTCGCCTGAACAGCAAACACCATATGGCGCGCACTCTTCTCCCGCCCTACAACCGCCAGATCTCGCCCGCCGCGATTGTCCCTAACATAATAGTGCACCACTCGCCGCCCACGATCGTTGCACACCATCTCTTCTTCCCATCGCAGCCAAACCTTAAACCGGGAATCCATAACCAAAACCCTAACCCTAGAAACGGCCGCTACAAAGCACTCCGCCACCGCGGCGGAGATGGTGAAGCGATCTATAAATAAAACGAATATATCCGAACGCAAGATAAGGCAAGGATCTAGCGGAAAAATTAATGGACGGTAGATCTGATTCTGTCTAAATATCAACGGCCGATAACAGGTCCACGCGTTACATCCGCCGAAACCGATTCGCTTCTGCGAAGTTTCTCAAAAAAATTAGCTCGAACCCTGATCGAACCGATCCGCTGTTCAAAGGTTAATGCACACAGCGAAATATAGCTATAAAAACTGAACGCGTGGCAAAAATAGGGCGGGCCATGCTTAACGCGTTGAATTTCGTCAAGTGACGTACGTGGACCCTACGTACCGAGTCGTGCGAATCTGTAACGTCGGCACCTCTGCATAAGGCGTTAAAATTTTATTTGGGGATAAATAAATTAATTATTATTTTTATAATGGAATGGAAAACAATTTATTCAGAATATCTCATAATATTAATGATTTTTAATTAAACGTGCGTCAATTTAATGGCAACAACATTAATTTATTTAGGTAGCTTTTGGTGCAAGATAAATTTACAAAACATTTTTTTTGTAATTTTGAGTGATGTATTGGCTCTTTGTGTTAATCCAAACTCTATGCTCATTGCTCTATTACTTACATTCATAGTCCTATTACTTGTCATTAAGGCTAACACTATTTCTTGTATGTGATTAGGACGTTTGGGAGTAGGAGTGCAAGTGAGTCAAACAGACTCGTTAGCCAGCTTGAACTCGACTTAACAAGTGGCTCATGAACTCATCTGACGAGCTAACCAGCCAAGCACAGTTTATGCCCAACTTGACTCGTTAGCTCGTGTGCTAGCTCGCTTAAAAAATAATTAATATAAAAAATATTCAGAATATAATAGTATTCAAGATTTATTTTTTAAAATAATTAAAAAAAATATTTTGTATCTTATATTAAATGATTTATTATTATTTATCTTCTAATTGATTATTATATTTGTCATGTTATTATTGATATGCGATCAACAAATTTTCATCATCATACATGGATCTTGAGACGTGACATGAATCTCGAGGTAATTTTTTTTAGCACTGACATTTAAACTTTGATTAAATATCCTCTAGAACTTCGAACTTGACAAATTTACTGTCAAACTAATCGGTTCAATGAGACAGACACAATGACGCTAAAGTTGGTCTAGTCTAAGTCAAATAAAGCCCAAATCGAACCATTAAGTCATTTTATTGAAACTTTTAATGCATAATTGGAAGGTTAAATAGATTTCAAATATGGCAACCTTATAGTCCAATCAAACATCTCGATAAGAAAAAAACAAATGTGCTATCACTCAATTCTAACATTTTTAATGCCCTCAAATGTTCACTAAATATTGTATGATTGAGTAAATCTATTTGGGCGGCCTGATGGAGTGGTATGCATTCCTTTTTTATTTGTAGGGAAGCAACTTCTGAACTCTATAAATAGAGTCATACCCCATTCGTGAAAGGGGACCTAGACCATTAACCAGAGGTAGATTAGGGCTTGAAGGAGAATGAATTGAGGTTTGGTGTTCTACACCGAAGGTCTAATGAACCCCACCCGCTTCTGCAGCAGTCGAACAATGTCAACACTCTCGCACTGCTGATCATCGTCAACCACCATCAACAGCTCTCTGTAACAAAGTCTCTTATGGAGTCATGATGTATGTGGTTGGGAAGCACCATGCGGAATAACAACTAGCTTTGTGAAGTAACAAAGCATTTTGCGGGGCAACACGTCCTAAAGATAGTGTGACAACACACCATGAATATAGTGTAATATTGCACTCACTTACCGTGTAATGATGCACCCTAAAGACTTTAAAACAACACACCCCATAACAACTGCTTGCAACCGTCATAATCAGAATACAGTGACTTTCTTCAGAATTCTGAAGCTATCTCCTTTCAGATGTTATCACAACTCATGAAGCTTTCAATTCTAAACTTTACGACCTACAACTTTTATTACATCTCCCCGCTACAGCCTATGTGACCAACTATGACTTACGTGGCACATAGCTCACACAACTCTCAACTTTGGCTTCTATAGTCTACAATGTTATTACAACTCCTCGCTACAAGCACGGTGAACAATTATGAACTACACGACTAATAGCTCACGCAACTCCATACTATTGTCTATATGCCTATGGACATTATTACAACTTACCACTATGACTTAGATGACCAACTATAGTCGATGTGGTTGGAATTATTATTTAGGGTTTCCAAGTAAAAATTGTGGTATCCCCTTATGCTAACTATTATTTTAATTACCTGAGTGTGGTTGGATTTTTCATATAACGCGAAGATGTTAAATAATCATTCTTCTATCATGAATCTTCTGGCACACATCAATTATAATATTAGTTGGAATTAACATTATTTTGTCTTTTTTATATTAATCAAGCCGCCTCGTGTGTCATCTCAAACTTGTAGAATAAAGCTCAATCTTGAGCTGGAACTTTATTAATTAATCAAGCTCAAGCTCAAGCCGATGGAAGATTGAACTCGAC